CCTTATTTGGGAGAAGGGTCTTTGCAGATGTAATTAAGTGAAGGAGCTTGAGGGGTGAGATCATTCTAGGGTACCTGAGTGGATCCTAAATCCTATGGCAAGTGTCTTAAAAGAAACAGAGAAGGAGGAGAAATCCACTACAGGCTGAGGCAGAGGCTGGAGTGATGTAGTCATACAGCAAGGAATGTTGGGCCAACTCTGTGGCCTAGTGGTTAAAGGAGCCGGATCCCACATAGCCAACCCACATGGGTTCAAATCCCGGCCCTGGCAGTTTGAATTAATGCCAGATGAGTGTGCATGCCGCAAATCCCAACAGGATGGAGAGATGCAGAAGAGAATGTGGTGTGACCAAGTCCCATTGGGGGTGCTATTTTCCTCTCTTTCTCTCTCTCTGTCTCTCCAACTCTCTCTGGCATCCACTGGCAATTTAAACAAACTAATTAACTAATTAATTAAAAACAAAAATAAATTGAAGCATGCTAAGGGTTGTCAAGAGCCCTCAGTAGCTGGAAGAGGCAAGGAAGGGTCCTTCCCTAAATCCTGTGGGAGGAGCACAGCTCTGCAGACACCTTCATTTCAAACTTCTGGCCTGTAGAATTATGAAAGAATAGATTTCTGTTGGGTTTTTGTTTGTTTGTTTGTTTTTTGCTATAGGGTGTGCGTGCTCGCCAGAGAGGGGGAAGTGAGAAATCACCCCCAGGGGGATGTCCACACAGTAATCCCTTCTCCACACTGCCAGTCCAGGACTTGAACCACATGGTTGGCCCTGGAAGACCCCGCACCTTAACCTCCTCGCCACTGATTTCTGTTGCTTTAAGTGTCCGCGTTTGAGGTCATCCGTTACGACCCTCCTAGAAAGCACACTCAGTGAGTCGAGCTAGTTCCGTTTTCCTGGTCCCTGCTCTTCCTCCCTGCTGCTCTGCGCCCCACGCCGGCTGCGCTAATGCGTTAACCAGGACACACACTCGCGTGAACCCTCACGGGCGTGCACGTCTCTACTGACCCACAGCTTCACCTCAGCCTGTTCCCGCACACATACACTCGTGTAAACCCTCATGTGTGTGCACGCCTCTGCTGACCCACAGCTTCACCTCAGCCTGTTCCCGCACACACACACACTAGCGTGTGCCCTCACGTGCGTGTACGCCTCTCTTGACCCACATCTTCGTCTCAGCCTGTTCCCACACACACACACACACACACACGTGTGTGCCCTCATAGGCATGCACGTCTCTCCTGACCCACATCTTCGTCTCAGCCTGTTCCCACACACACACACGTGTGTGCCCTCACATGCGTGCACGCCTCTCCTGACCCACAGCTTCACCTCAGCCTGTTCCCACACACATACACTCGTGTAAACCCTCACGTGCGTGCACGCCTCTCCTGACCCACATCTTTGTCTCAGCCTGTACATACACACACACACTCGCGTGTGCCCTCACATGTGTGCATGCCTCTTCTGACCCACATCTTCATCTCAGCCTGTTCCCATGCACACACACTTGCGCGTGCCCTCACGTGCGTACACGTCTCTGCTGATCCACATCTTCATCTCAGCCTGTTCCCACACACACACTCATGTGTGCCCTCACGTGCATGCACATCTCTGCTGACCCAAATCTTCATCTCACCCTGTTCCCACACACACACTCGCGTGTGCCCTCACGTGCATGCACGCCTCTTGTGACCCACAGCTTCATCTCGGCCTGTTCTCGGGAACTCTGTGAGCCTTTCCTGAGGAGAAATGGGCTGGACGAGGTGACTCAGCAAGACCGAGACAAAAGGTTGAGGTGGAGGGCGGCAGGGGAACTGTGCAGAGGGACAGCCGCCACACAGAGAGAGGGGCCCCCCCCCCACCAAGAGGGACAGCCGCCACGCAGAGGGGACAGCCACCAAGCAGAGGGACAGCCGCCACGCAGAGGGACAGGTGCCACACAGAGGGACAGCCAACACGCAGAGGGACAGGTGCCACACAGAGGGACAGCCACCACGCAGAGGGACAGGTGCCACACAGAGGGACAGCCACCACGCAGAGGGACAGGTGCCACACAGAGGGACAGCCACCACGCAGAGGGACAGGTGCCACACAGAGGGACAGCCACCACGCAGAGGGACAGGTGCCACACAGAGGGACAGCCACCACGCAGAGGGACAGGTGCCACACAGAGGGACAGCCACCACGCAGAGGGACAGGTGCCACACAGAGGGACAGCCACCACGCAGAGGGACAGGTGCCACACAGAGGGACAGCCACCACGCAGAGGGACAGGTGCCACACAGAGGGACAGCCACCACGCAGAGGGACAGGTGCCACACAGAGGGACAGCCACCACGCAGAGGGACAGGTGCCACACAGAGGGACAGCCACCACGCAGAGGGACAGGTGCCACACAGAGGGACAGCCACCACACAGAGGGACAGCCACCATGCAGAGGGACAGGTGCCATGCAGAGGGACAGCTGCCACACAGAAGGGACAGCCACCACACAGAGGGACAGGTGCCATGCAGAGGGACAGCCGCCGTGCAGAGGGACAGCTGCTGTGCAGAGGGACAGCCATCACATGGAGCTCTCCACGTCAGCCTTGTCAAGGGGCTATGAAAAGCCAGAATCCTGGGCTGAAAATAGAATCTTCTGGAAAGACTGCAATGTCGCAGGAGGAAATGAGCCAAGAGGCAGACCTCGCCACACAGCCTCTTTTTAAAAGCTTAACATTTATTTCTTCCTTGAGCAACAGCAAGTGAGAGGGCGAGCAGACGAGAGAGAGAGAGAGAGACGGCCCCCTCAGCTAGGTCTTCACACTGCGACCCACCCCGCCTCAGCCAGGCCTGGGTCTCGGGCACGCGTGTGCCAGTGTGCTCAGGGAGGTCTCCAGATGTGAACCAGCTCCTCTTACGGCTGCACCAGCACCGCCCCTTCTCTGCACGCTCTCACTGACGGGCACCAAGAGCCTCCCTCCAAAGTCCGGAGGATGCCAAAAGAACAGCAACGTAATAGCCTCTCGCTCTGGCATCGGCCGTGACTGAGGCTAAAATTCACCTGGGAAGGCTTGTTTCAGGGTGAAGAGGACGAAGATGATCTCCTTATAATTATCCGATTCATAGAGACACCCGAACAGGGGTGACCCGTCGGGGCCAGGGCCCATGCTCTGGAGGTCTGAGTAGGCGCAGCCGCCC